CACTGGGAAGCACCCAGCAGAGCGGGGGGACTGTGGGCTCATTGTTGAGTTTAAGTGCTTTGTAGTTAAAACGCAGACGATTTCCCTACCTGCTGCACAGCGGTGCTGCTCGTCCCTCGCAGGGCCAGTGTTCCGTTATGCCGTGGGGAATGATGAGGGTGTTTCAGCCTGATTTCATTCAGCCTGTGCCCGAGGTGTCCTCAGAGGAGCCGAGCCCGCCTGCTGCTTCGCTGGCTCTCCCCTTTTAAGGCAGGAAATGCGTCCCTGCCCCACTCATCTGCTTCATTCGGACTTGAGAACCTCGTGGTTTGAATGTGGAAGGCTGTGGAAGGCACTGGTGGGCTCGTAGCTTCCCAGCCTGCGGGAAGGCAGCTTTCCTCTGCTTCCCCTCGGCATAACTTGGGTCTCTTCCCCAGCTCCAGCAAAAAGCCAAAGCTCAGGCACGAGGCAGCAGAGGAGGCCTTGTCCGGTGGGAGCTTTCGGCTGTTGCTCAGCGGCGTGTTCCTCTCTTGCAGGAGCAGTTCCTGCAGGAAAGGATCAAGGTGAACGGCAAAGCGGGGAACCTGGGCGGGGGCGTGGTGACCATCGAGAGGAGCAAGAGCAAGATCACGGTCACGTCGGAGGTTCCGTTCTCAAAGAGGTGAGGTGCTGGGGCTGCCTCCCCTGCAGAGGCACTAGTCACCGTCACAGGGCTCTGCCAGTGCCGTGGTTGGGCTGGTCAGCGTGGAGAGGGGAGCCTGGTTGGCAGCAGGGCTTGTAGGGAAGAGGTGTCTTGGTGCAAGAATCATGTCAGGCCTCCTGGTTAAATACTCGGTGCGGTGGCTGCTCTTTGAGGGGAAGGCAGGGTCGATCTTCCTGCTGGGAGGAGACGGGCAAAGGGGCAGCCAAAAGACGAAGAGTTGGGGTTTGAGGATTGATCTGCAACCAGGCTCTTCCCTCCCGTGTCGGTGCCCTCGTTGGGCTCTTGTCCTCCACCAGCTTCTCATGGTTGCCAGTCCTTTGTCTGGCCTTGGCAGATGTG